CGTAATATGGCGTTTACATTGGCCGAAAATGGCTCATTTTGAATGAGCCATTTGAAAGTGTTTACATTCGTTCTATTTCATTTGTTCTCATTTCAACAGCTGATTTTTCAACTTGCATGTTGATTTGATTTTTGGCCTGTGCCAAAAAAATGTTGCATGAAAGTTAAATATGCCTTCAAACCTTACATTAGAAACTTAAAACATATTTTTAACTTCGATTAATTACTTTTTGGGAAGTAAAAGTTCTAAAAAGCAGTGCATCGTTTTCAAGAAAATGCAACCACCAAACATTTGTTTACCTTTTTTTGTGAATATGTTAAAAACAGCTTTTTCAAACAGTCAAAATGCCATGAAGAGCTTTCATTTGGGGTATGTTCAATGGATTCCTTTGCATTTGAAACGTATGTGGAATGCATTCGAACGTCATTCATATAGAATGTGAGAAAATTGCTTATATGGCGTTTACATTGGCCGAAAATGGCTCATTTTGAATGAGCCATTTGAAAGTGTTTACATTCGTTCTATTTCATTTGTTCTCATTTCAACAGCTGATTTTTCAACTTGCATGTTGATTTGATTTTTGGCCCGTGCCAAAAAAATGTTGCATGAAGGTTAAATATGCCTTCAAACCTTACATTAGAAACTTAAAACATATTTTTAACTTCGATTAATTACTTTTTGGGAAATAAAAGTTCTAAAAAGCAGTGCATCGTTTTCAAGAAAATGCAACCACCAAACATTTGTTTACCTTTTTTTGTAAATATGTTAAAAACAGCTTTTTCAAACTGTCAAAATGCCATGAAGAGCTTTCATTTAGGGTATGTTCAATGGATTCCTTTGCATTTGGAACGTATGTGAAATGCATTCGAACGTCATTCATACAGAATGTGAGAAAATTGCTCATTTTTGTGCTTGAAATTTTATATGCAAGAATGAGCCATTCGATACTCATTTTCGATTTTTGACCAAAATGAGCCATTTTCGGCCAATGTAAACGCCGTATAAGGGACATTTCAAATGCAACTATGCGTAAGATAAATTTTAAGCAAAAGGTAAAGTTGAGATAACAAAAAAGTCATGATTTTTTTTAAATTAAAGACAATGAAAGTTGATTTTAATAAAATCGGGAAAATAGTTTGAAAGTAGCGTAATAAAACTACTGAATGCCATCCTTTATAGTTATAATAATCAACTTTTAAAATTTCTCAGATACAAATGGTGTTTGGAGCATGTAATTCTTAACATTCGATTTGTAAACAAAAAATATATGATGTCCTTAATTTAGGGCAGTATGAACACTTTTGAAATTAACTTAATTTCATTTTTACGAAATTAAGAAAATTTGGCTGTCTGAATATAGTATTAGTTTACTTGCTAATGAAGTCAATGCAATTTTACATAGATATATTGGAATCTTACTATTCTAAAATTTACAAAAACCTTCCCGGGGATATACCTAATAATTTCCCAAATTTTCACGATGATTGAACGTATGGTTTTTGAATTCATCGAGAACAGACAGACGACAGACAGACAGACAACATTCACTTTTATATATATAGATATATGATTCATTTTCAATAAAAACTTGTTATTTTTGTTTTTCAAAACAAATATATTATTATTTATAAAATGCACTGGATTCAATAATTAATTATATATTGAAATGCTTCATATTTATTAAAACTCAATTCGACATTATCGGACTTACAACTTTATATATATTACAAATGACAATAGTAAATAAAAATAGCATATTTATGAAGTACTTCTAGCACTTTTATAATTTCTCCTACTTAATACAGTTTATTAATGTTATCCTATTCACACAATAACTGTTTATCTGGATTGAGATATTGCAGTTATACAAGTGTTTATTATATTTAAACAGTACTGAAAGTTCATTCTATATGTCACGTCAATACTTTTAGTGTTAAAGCATATTGTTTGAATTTATGGTAATAAAATATAGATATTTTATCACCATAAGTTTGTATGAAACAATTTAAATTCAGAAGGTGGTTTATCTCTTATGGAGTCCTTTCGAATTTTTTTTGTGTTTAGTTTCAGCTGGCACTTTAGTTCTTTCCCATTTGTAAGCTAATTTTATAGTCCATATAATAGATTTGTAGATGGGTTGTAGATTTGAAAATTAGGTATACTGTTAATCTCTCGGTTTC